TTTCTTATTTGACATATTTTTTTATTGTCGTCAAAATCGCCAAAAAATAAATATAGTGTCGTCAAAGTAAACAATGTCATCAAATTAGTCAATCCTCTGTTTCGGGTTAGTTTGACGACGTCGCCAAAGTATACGATTTATTGATAAAATTGTGACGACCGTCGTCAAAATAGCCAGAAGTCGTCAAAGTGTCCAATCTGTACCGAAAATCGTCGTCAAAATATACGATTGACATATATATATGTATATATGTAATTATATGTATATATCTTATGTAAATACGATATTGAGAAAAAATCTATATTAAATATTATATAATTAGTTATAGTATATTAAGTATTATTAAGTGTGTTGCATGTTAAGCTTTGTTAACCAAATAAGAATGAAAAGAGTTTTGTAATTATTTTGACTTCAGACTAACAATAAGAATATAAAATATATAGTTGCCCAATGGAGTGGATAGTAGTACATTTTATAGAAGAAAATTTAGTCGAAGCTGTACCAGTCGCATGGGTGCATGATGATATGTGTTATTGGCCACCATGCACTGGCAAAAAATTAATTCATTCTGTCGCAGTATGTGAAAAACTAGTATTCGGTGTATGGCCATTATTTAAAATTCGAAAAGTGGGAAGTGGACGTACCTACCCAGTGAACCAAGTAATATAGCAGCAATGTAATGGCAATGTAACCAAATATAACAGGTTATATTACCAAAATGTTACATGTAATTTACATGTAAGTTACTTTTTCCGATTCAGCAATATAACATGTTATATAACGTGTTATCTAACCATTACATAACAATTAATGTAACGGTAATATAACAAATATGATAGCTGTTATATTAATGCAATATAATAGTAGCTATATTTGTAATGTTACAGTTATATTGAGGTAATGAACGTGTTACGAAAGTTGAATAAAAATAGATGGATTCAAAATTCTTATTTATTCATAAAATGTTTGTATTACACCAAACAAAATAATTATGTGTATCAAATTAAAATGTAACAAACTTAAAACATTAGAAATATATCTTTTATATTAGGAACACATATATATCTTATATATATTATCAATCTATTTAATCCCAGCAAACACAAAATATAACTGCAATATAACAGAAAAGTAACCTGTGATATAACAGATGTTATATCTTAGTTACATTGAGGCTATGTATCTCATTATATATCTACAATATAACTATGTAATATAATTGTAACATTTTTTTGTTATTTACTCGTTACAATAAAGTAACAGCAACATAACATAAATATAATACATTATATAACAGATGTTATATCGAAGTTATATAGATGTTATATAATATGTTATATGACATTTACATAGATATTATAAAATATGTAATATAACGTCTACATAACTATTATATTGACATTACGTATTTTGAATTACGCGGGATTTATTTTAACAGTATAGCAACGCCATTATTGCTATATACATACATATAATTCCGTTTCCGATCTGTGCGACATGGGTAATCTGAGTGATATGGCGACATGAAGTGATTTTTCTTATCCGAGGTAATCCTTTTTTTCTTAATTAAATATATATGTGTTAAACATTGCATTAAATCAGAAAAAAATATTTCATCTAAATATATATACAATATTAAGTTAACATTTTTCATAATTTATTATCATAAAGCTATTCTGCCTACAAATTCGAGGTTATTGTTGATTGTGAAAATATGCATATAAAAGTATTTGAGTTTTAAATCTTTTGGCATTCCTTTAATATTCGCTCGCTATATATATATATTTTCATAACGATAAAGATGATAACCTCGCAAATTATTAGGTATATATATCAATTGTATAATAATTAATTATAATCATCAAAAGATACTTATATATATTAACAAATTGTACAACATACACACATATATATATATATATATATATATACATATATATATGCTATATTATAAAAATATTATCATAACTTTAATTTACATATTTTTTAATCCGTCACAGGTTGTACACGAAATACATATTGGATCCAAAAATTGTCTCGTCTTTCCGCCAGCCAAACAAATATTTGTCGTACGTATGCGTATACGTGCTTTGCAGTATATATATATATGGAACAGTGGAAAAATTATTAAGTCGTCAATGAAGGTATATATATATATATATATATATATATATTACTTTGATAGTAATTTAAGCAGGTAATATTTACATCAATATTTATCTATTTGTTATCCTTTTCTGTGAAAATGTATTATATTATTTTATTTTTTATATATGGACCCAGCAAATATGTAAGTAATCAAGCATGTTACATGTAACGTATATGTTATAGTTGTAATTTCCCATTCATAAATGTAACATTTTTAATATAACATATATATTACATTGTAGTTATATTGTAATTATATACCAAATAGCACATTCATGTATCGATAAGTCAGTGCTATCTGGGATATAATGACAATATACCTACAATGTATAATATATGTTATATTAAAAATGTTACATTTATGAGTGGGAAATTACAACTAACATATACGTTACATGTAACATATGCTTCATTACTTACATATATACATAACATTTTATATATATACCGTGTTTGCTGGGCGAGGAATTGTTAGAAGATATTTATTAATTAACATTTAACTAGACAGCTTGATATATTTCTCAAAAAGAATGAATTAAAGTCATTAAATTTTCATGTTAATATATATTATATTGTCATTTTTTAATTAATGCTAATAAATGAATGAATGAATAACATTTTCAGAAAGGTCTCTTTAATTTGTACGACAACAAATATAAGCTCGCTATTTTAAACACATCGACACGCATATTTTAGTACTTATATTAATACGAAATATTATTAATTCAACATGCCGAAGGACATAAGATTTTTATCTAAAAGACGAAAGAATCAATTAATCAATTGTCAATATAATTTACATAAAAATTTAAATTTATTACAATTAGTCGAATCAAACAAAGCATGTAATAATATTAAAGAAGCAACATTAACTCGTGAAGAATGTAACAATAATATATCTTGTAGAGATAATATATTATCTAACGATTCTAATGAATTTCATGAATTTGAGATAGAACATGATACGAATAACAAAAAAGAATGTAACATTGAATTAAAGGATAATACACCTACAACAAATATCTCCTATTGTAATAATGAGAATAATTTATGGAAGGATTTACAAATGTTAATTATTAATTGTAATATTCCACATAGCTGTGCAAACGAATTACTTCGTATTCTTATAACACATGGTCATGTGGAATTACCTTATGATGTCAGATGTCTACTTAGAACGCCACGAAATACATTTATGCATATTAAATCTATGGGCAACGGTCGTTACTTTCATTTTGGTATTTTGTCTTCTCTTGAGCGATCAATACAGATGTATTCTACATTTATAAAAACAAATGAAATTACATTAAATATAAATACAGATGGTTTACCACTTTGTAAAAGTTCTGGAAGCCAATTTTGGCCTATTATGGGATCAATAGAAGGAATAGATATTTACACATCACCATTCATAATCGGTGTGTACCATGGCATGTGCAAGCCCAATGATGCAAACGAATTTTTAACCGATTTTATCAATGACTTTATTTCTCTCTCACAAAATGGAATAACTGTTTTGAACAATAAATATACTGTTGCTATTGGTGCAATACTATGCGATGCCCCAGCTAGAGCATTTATTACACGCACCAAAGGCCATACAGGATATTTCTCTTGTCCTAAATGTATACAAGAAGGTGATTTTGTTCATAATAGAGTGGTCTTTCCACAAACTCATAATACGTTGCGTACTGATGATGCATTTAAAAATCGTGCCCAACCTGAACATCATACAGGTGATTCCATATTAGAAAAACTTCATATTGGAATGATATCGCAAATTCCACTGGATTATATGCATCTTGTTTGTTTAGGTGTTACAAAACGATTGTTACAAATTTGGCAAAGAGGAAATAAACATTTCAGATTATCGAAAGAGTGTGTAAATTTAATTTCACAGCATTTAATGGTGATTCAGCCATATATTCCAGTGGAATTTGCGAGAAAACCTAGAGATTTACGAGACATTGATAGATGGAAAGCCACTGAATTACGTCAGTTTTTATTGTACACTGGAATTGTAGTCATGAAGTCCACGATATCTTCAATTTATTATAATCACTTTTTATGTCTTAGTGTTGCAATTAGAATATTGATTGATCCACAATTGTGCGTGACATTTAATGACTATGCAAATTCATTATTATTGCACTTTGTATCGAATTACGGGAATATTTATGGTGACCAATATCTCTCATATAATGTGCATAATCTTATTCATCTAGCCAATGATGTAAACATGTTTGGTTCTTTAGACAACTTTAGTTGTTTCAAATATGAGAATAATATGCAAAAAATTAAGAAAAAATTGCGATCAGGAAAACCTTTAGAGGAATTAATAAATCGTACATCTGAAGAATTACAGCTTCCAATTCAACCGTGTCACAAAAAAAAATATCCTATTGTTATTTACACACCAAAAAACAATATTTTTCATCTACAATTCAAAACTTTTAAAATTGCTATTAACAAAACTGATAATTGTGCTTTACTGCATGATATGTCTGTGATTTTTGTTTTGGAAATTTTTGAAGACTGTGGGATTGTATTTATTCGTGCGCAACAATTTTTGAATCTTAAATCTCTATTTACTAAACCATGTCCTTCGGAAAAACTTGGTATATTCGTGATACCAAATATTACTTGTTTTAATATTATTAAAATTCCAGCGACACAAATACAAAGAAAGTGCGTAAAATTGAAATTTTTTATAAAAGTAATTCGTTTGTTACAATATCACTTTTACATAGTAATAATTAAAATGCATTTTGAGTAGATTTGATATATTCTACATTCTTTACTTTTGCATAACTTTATAAATTAATTTTAACTAATACGTTATGAATATTTTAATATAAATATTTTACTTTATCTTTCGTCTTTAAGATAAATATTGTATATGCGTTGTAATTTTTGTGGAATTTTCATTTATGGATATCATTAATGTGTAAGTACAATTTTTTAAAATTTAGGCAATTAATATTTTCGCATGAATATATTATAATATATCTATAATATCACAGATATGATATATCTTTGTATGAAATGTTGATCAACATTAACTGTTTATATATATACATATGTATTTACCAACAGATAATGGATGCTTATACCAAACAAGATAAAAAACATTATGCAGTAGTTAAATTTCTGTCGGATGGCACATTTTCTGAAATTCCTACTGCCTGGCTTTGTAAAGAAGGTGAGACAGATCAATGTTGGTGGCCGCCACGAACAGCAAATAGCACAATTTTAATTACAAATTGTGCAAGTCCAAATACCGACATATGGAGCAGACATGAGATAGAAATAATAAAATATTGTTGTAAGTACTTATACATTCTCTATATAGTCTCTATTTTTGAACCATATAAATATTTTTTCTTAAATTTAAAATTATTTATATAATAAAACAATAAATAAAACTTAATATAATCGTATATTTTACAATAATTGTCAAAATAAATGCGCGTATCAGCGCAGAAAAATGTTTCTATAATTTATTTGTAAATTTATTCAAATAAAGATTAATAGCTAAAAAATATATTTTATTATTTACAGCTTTGTTTATGTAATGAAATTAAATTTTGAAGTTAATATATAATATTTTTAACATTTAAAACATTTAATTCTAAATTGAAATTTAAGAAATACATTTAATTCTAATATTAAATTTGAGAATAAAAAATTTTTTTCAATCACGATGCGACTTATACGAAAAATTGACATTATTTTTCCTTTCTTTTTTACAGCGTCATTAGAATCAGCTCGAAAAAGTGCATCAGATGCATATTATCACACAACTGATGACGAACGATTAGGACGAGGAAAAAGACAATTGCGCCCATATAATCGATACGACAGTAGTGATGAAGAACACGAAGAAACACAATCTCGAAAATTTAATAAAAAACAACGTTATTCATGCAATCGTAGCAATAATAGTGACGAAGAAGAATACGAAGAAACACAATCTCGAGAATTAAACATTAAAGGTACATCTTGTCAAAGTATGTAAAACTTATTGCCACATACTTTTAGAGATTGTTTCATATGTAATCGCATATAAAAAGAAAGATCTTTAAATTGTATTATTACTATTTTTTTATGGTACTCATTTTATTAAGTATTAATAGTATTAATAGTGACTTTTAAATATATATTTTTAGGAAAAAGACTTACAGAAAAAAACTGTTCGAGTGCTATTGCATCTACTCTACCATCGTGTCCTGACAACTTTGGTTTAAATAATAATGTACTCTCTACATTTAATACACATAATGTCTCACAAAAAAGTTGTGGAAGCCGTTTTAATGAGACTTTGTCAAAGAAAGGTAACTCGCATATTATTTTTTATTATCTAAATATAATAGTTGTTATAATAATTATTGTAACAAATATTTAGGAATGGAAAGTGTTTCATTGTCTAAACAAAAAGAAAAGGAAGCCGAAGAAGTGGAAAACATACCCATAATATTTGATGGTACGTGTGTGTGTGTGTGTGTGTGTGTGTGTGTGTGCACATATGTTATATATGTATATGAGATATTAATAAAATACATTATTTGCAATATTTTAGGATATGTACCGTGTATAGAGGATATAAAAGAGAATGTGAATATAAAACGTAAGTAATTTTTTATTTCTTTTTCATTTACAGAGTATTTTACTCACTTACAAGGGACGAAAATTCAGAAAACCCTCAAAATTTATTAAATTTATTTAAATTTTTCAATACTTATTTATACATAATTTTGTAAAAATTAAAGAGATGCAACTTTTGTAAAAATTTTCTTCAAAGAGTGATTTCACTCCCTCAAATCCGGACAAATAAAAAATATTGTAGTTTTGTGTTACAGATGAACTACTCTATTTATACACAATTCAGAATAAATTCTGAATTTTCGGATTGCTTAATCTCTGGTTAGATATTTCATTCACTTTTATATACATGCATATGTGTCTTATTGCAGAGAATTTACAACAAATGGTACACATGCAAGCAACAGTAAACATCACGTTACAAGATATAAACCAACGTTTAAAAAGAATAGAAAAAGCTATTCTTACAAAATGTGTATCAAATTTTGATGTAAATGATAATATTATCACGAAATTTTTACCTTGTAGCACAGTAGAACGTATAAAGCAATTTGAATCATTATTGAAAACTACAGAAGAGGCAGTTACTCAATTTGTAAGAATTCTTTGTATATTACTTATTTTATAGCAATCGCATTTTATTTAAAAGCAAATTTATGTGTACAAAATGTACGTTATTTTTACAGAGAGAGTATTTGTTGAAAATAGGACGAAACAACCCTAAAGATAATATACAACAAATTTTGAAAAAAATTTTCACGAATGAGTGTGCTATGAATTGTTCCATGAAAGGAATTCGAAACAATTTCCGAGTTGGTGACTTAAATATAATAAAAATTGTTAGAAGTATGTGATGTATATATATATATATAAGCTGTGCTAAACTTAAAATTTATTGATAGTTTTATTAAGGGGTAACACCACTGTAAAATTTTCAAAAAATCGATTTTTTTTTGGGCTTAAAAAATCCTTTGAACCCTGTAGAATACGAGGAAAAAACTTTTATACGTGAAACTAATTTATTTCATCGAAATTCCTAGCTATGTACTGAACGAGTCGGGCGACTCCGAAACGGCTACCTGCTCCGGGTGGAAACCTGTCGAGAGAGTAGTGCATAATACCTTGCTTATTGATTTCTAAGTTATGTGAGACACTACTAGATGAAATATATCTAGATATATGAAATATATCTAGATATATCTAAAATATATCTAAAATATATCTAAATATATCTAAATATATCTAAATATATCTAAATATATCTAGATATACGAAATATATCTGGAAATGGAAATTGGCGTCGAAGCATATAATTTTTGCATCGAATCCGATGCAAAACGAATCAAGCACGCAGAGGCACAATTATCAGATGCAGCAAAAAAAGCGCGCTCTGGCATAACATCTGCGAGGAAAGAAATGGAGGACGAATATTCCAACTTAGAAGGGCAGCTTTACGGTGCTGGGATTGCAGACTAATAGTAAAAATTTTTTTTGAGTCGAATTTTAAATTTTTTCATGTTATAATACAACTCCAAACTTTAAACGCGTTTTTCTCGAAACACGTTTTTTCAACGCGGCAAGCAGTATAACTCTAACAATTTTTAATATTTTCACTTGAATTTTTTACTGTACATTCAAAACAACATTTCGAAGTACAATACGTATGGAATTTTTGATACGTTGCTCTAAACATTTTTTATTGCCAAATAATGTCACTTTTTTTTTGTCGAAAAATGAACGACTTTATTCAAATGCTCGCCAATCACTCAAAAATCAATATTTCTAAAATCCCATACGTATTGTACTAGATATACCATTGAAGATCATGAGGAATTTTTTATTTGTTCTTGGTTCAAATTTCCAACGGCTACACTGCTTGCCGCAGACCCTTTTATTTTAAAGGAGCATCAGGGAATATGGCTGCCATTCCGCCATTTTGTAATATTATTTTATGAAAAAATTTTTACTAGTACTTCAATATATGCTTATTAACTTCACGGAGTATTAATACTTTATTTCATTTCCTTTCATTAAAAAAAAAATGTCGAAGAAGTGCAATTTTTTGGGCCGTTACAGTGGTGTTACCCCTTAATTTAATGCATTCTCTTTTTTAAGGAGATTTAACTTTACGTCACGCAAGTCTAACAGAATCCGATTTTGATGGTATAGTCGCAGAATGGCTACGTTTTGCGAAACAAAGAAAAGAAAGAGAAGACAAGACTAAGGAACAAGACAATGAAGAAAATGATGTACAACATAACGTTGATGAGTAACATCTAATACATATATAAATATATATATATCTTTATCTTTTTAAAAAAACATTTTTTTCTTAATATATAAAAAATATAGTATCGCTATATATCTTTGAAGATCCTGGATCCTCGTTACAGCCATATGTTAGATTATGACAGAGACGAGAAAACACACTGAAAGTTTTATTTAGATGCCATTTTTAAATGAAAAGATACTTCAAAAAAACACTACTTCGGATGGTTTTAGCACACATTTTTAAAATACCTCGAAACTATTCTTTTCCCTTGACAGTCAATCAACAATCGTAAAATAATTGTGATATTAAACTTTGTCATGTGGAATGACTGTGCATGTGTAAAGATCAGACGGACTGGGCCTCATATTAGTCATTTTACAGTTTTTGATTAATTATAAAGGGAAAAGGATAGTTTTCAAAGTATTTTGAGAGTGCGCAAAAGCCATGCAAAGTGCTGTTTTATTAAAATGTCTTTATTTCAAAATGACTTGAGAATTTTAGCGTATGCGTTGTTCGCCTCTAACGTCACAATTCCAACATGGTCGGTGAATAGCCAGAAGTCTTAATAAGGTTTATAGATTTCTCTCTAGAAAAGGGGACACCATGGCGATAAATAGATAAATGTTTTCTGTATGATATATATATATATATATGTATATATAGACTAATGGGTGCTGGGATTGTCCCCTTTTGAGGACAAAGTCCGCATTAGCCTGTCCTCCAGGAAACATTATTATATAATACATCTCCTGATGTCCATTAAAAGTATTTGTGTTCGTATAACAAAAAAATAATCAGAAAAAAGTTAAGTTTAAGTTATAAGAAAGGTAAACGTATAATAAAGTTATTGAATATATATATATATATATATGTTTATACGTTTCCTGATGTGATAAAAATATATGATTTCTGATATTAAAAAAATGATTTATAAAAATATTAATTTTATATAGACTTATTCATTAAGATTGATATATGTTTGTGAAATTTATTAGATATATAGGGATAGGTACTTTATGCTTTTGAATACCTATATGAATTATGCCAGGAAAAAGTGTCTGAAAATGCTCTCATTATGCGCGAAAAATCTAGCAATTATGCGCTAATTATGCGTGTTAAATCCGTTAGCTATTATAATATATGCGCATTATTGATATTATTTCAATCTTTCGCGTAATATATAACATAACAGCCTAAAAAAAAATATATAGAGTTCAATTTTGAAAAATTCGTCGTTTTCTCCCAAATCCGAGTGTTTTAAATACAAAAACTGCCTTATTGTGCGATAATTACGCGAAAATCGCATTATGCTGCGCGGAAGTGTTTATTATGCGATTGAAATCTGTGGAAAATCAAGAACGTGGGTTCTTGCAATGTCGCTATCACAGTTTTACATATATACCCAGCAAACACAAATATATAACAGCAACATTGTTACAATGTAACTGAATGTAACACGTAATATAACGTATATATTACATGTAACGTCTATGTTAATTGTAATTTCCCACTCATACAATGTTACAGTTACATAACATAAATATAACATGTAACTGAAATGTTACATAAATTATATAACAATTATATATTAGTTATATAACAGTAACATAACTTACTGCGGTGTTATATTAATGTAATGTAACTGTAACGTTAATATAATGTAATTAATTACCGTTTTGTTATATAACTGCTATATTACTATAACATTAAGATACTTTACCTTTTGCACATACAAATCCCAAAAAAGATCCTTGATTTAATTCTAAGCGAATAAACTAAACGAAAATTGTAAAAATACATGTTTCGTTTATTTTTGCTTAGAATTAATTCAAACACCTTTCTTGAGATTATATAGTATGTGCAAAAGTAATATTTCCTGTTGGAGGCTGTGTTTTGGGGTGAATATAAGGATCGATAAAGATATATATACACACATTTTATGTAAATATAAAGTATATATGATATATATTGCAAATATATATATATACATATACATATTTTTCTATATTGCACAACGTTCATTTTGCATTACATAGAACAAAGTGTTAAATATAAAAATTACAGAAAGACAAATAAAAACTGTATCGCACTTTATTGTTATGTATAGTTTAAATAAAAACATAATAATATGCTTTATCTTTAAAATAGCCAAATTAATACAAATTTAGCAAATTTTTTTTAATAACATCTTAAAATAAAAGTTTTTAATAAAACTATATGCTTTAAATAGAAAAAAATGCCAGAATTCTATACATACACAAAATAATGAATCAATAAATCACTATATTATAGGGATAGGTACTTTATGCTTTGAGCATAATAGCAAATGTGTCAAAATTGTTCTTAAGCATAAATTTTACTAGTTATATGCATAGTACACACTTATTAATATTGACAGATTTCAATCGCATAATAAACACTTCCGCGCAGCATAATGCGATTTTCGCGTAATTATCGCACAATAAGGCAGTTTTTGTATTTAAAACACTCGGATTTGGGAGAAAACGACGAATTTTTCAAAATTGAACTCTATATATTTTTTTTTAGGCTGTTATGTTATATATTACGCGAAAGATTGAAATAATATCAATAATGCGCATATATTATAATAGCTAACGGATTTAACACGCATAATTAGCGCATAATTGCTAGATTTTTCGCGCATAATGAGAGCATTTTCAGACACTTTTTCCTGGCATAATTCATATAGGTATTCAAAAGCATAAAGTACCTATCCCTATATATCTAATAAAATTTCACAAACATATATCAATCTTAATGAATAAGTCTATATAAAATTAATATTTTTATAAATCATTTTTTTTAATATCAGAAATCATATATTTTTATCACATCAGGAAACGTATAAACATATATATATATATATATATATATTCAATAACTTTATTATACGTTTACCTTTCTTATAACTTAAACTTAACTTTTTTCTGATTATTTTTTTGTTATACGAACACAAATACTTTTAATGGACATCAGGAGATGTATTATATAATAATGTTTCCTGGAGGACAGGCTAATGCGGACTTTGTCCTCAAAAGGGGACAATCCCAGCACCCATTAGTCTATATATACATATATATATATATATATCATACAGAAAACATTTATCTATTTATCGCCATGGTGTCCCCTTTTCTAGAGAGAAATCTATAAACCTTATTAAGACTTCTGGCTATTCACCGACCATGTTGGAATTGTGACGTTAGAGGCGAACAACGCATACGCTAAAATTCTCAAGTCATTTTGAAATAAAGACATTTTAATAAAACAGCACTTTGCATGGCTTTTGCGCACTCTCAAAATACTTTGAAAACTATCCTTTTCCCTTTATAATTAATCAAAAACTGTAAAATGACTAATATGAGGCCCAGTCCGTCTGATCTTTACACATGCACAGTCATTCCACATGACAAAGTTTAATATCACAATTATTTTACGATTGTTGATTGACTGTCAAGGGAAAAGAATAGTTTCGAGGTATTTTAAAAATGTGTGCTAAAACCATCCGAAGTAGTGTTTTTTTGAAGTATCTTTTCATTTAAAATGGCATCTAAATAAAACTTTCAGTGTGTTTTCTCGTCTCTGTCATAATCTAACATATGGCTGTAACGAGGATCCAGGATCTTCAAGATATATAGCGATACTATATTTTTTATATATTAAGAAAAAATGTTTTTTTAAAAAAGATAAAGATATATATATATTTATATATGTATTAGATGTTACTCATCAACGTTATGTTGTACATCATTTTCTTCATTGTCTTGTTCCTTAGTCTTGTCTTCTCTTTCTTTTCTTTGTTTCGCAAAACGTAGCCATTCTGCGACTATACCATCAAAATCGGATTCTGTTAGACTTGCGTGACGTAAAGTTTAAATCTCCTTAAAAAAGAGAATGCATTAAATTAAGGGGTAACACCACTGTAACGGCCCAAAAAATTGCACTTCTTCGACATTTTTTTTTTAATGAAAGGAAATGAAATAAAGTATTAATACTCCGTGAAGTTAATAAGCATATATTGAAGTACTAGTAAAAATTTTTTCATAAAATAATATTACAAAATGGCGGAATGGCAGCCATATTCCCTGATGCTCCTTTAAAATAAAAGGGTCTGCGGCAAGCAGTGTAGCCGTTGGAAATTTGAACCAAGAACAAATAAAAAAATTCCTCATGATCTTCAATGGTATATCTAGTACAATACGTATGGGATTTTAGAAATATTGATTTTTGAGTGATTGGCGAGCATTTGAATAAAGTCGTTCATTTTTCGACAAAAAAAAGTGACATTATTTGGCAATAAAAAATGTTTAGAGCAACGTATCAAAAATTCCATACGTATTGTACTTCGAAATGTTGTTTTGAATGTACAGTAAAAAATTCAAGTGAAAATATTAAAAATTGTTAGAGTTATACTGCTTGCCGCGTTGAAAAAACGTGTTTCGAGAAAAAAACGCGTTTAAAGTTTGGAGTTGTATTATAACATGAAAAAATTTAAAATTCGACTCAAAAAAATTTTTACTATTAGTCTGCAATCCCAGCACCGTAAAGCTGCCCTTCTAAGTTGGAATATTCGTCCTCCATTTCTTTCCTCGCAGATGTTATGCCAGAGCGCGCTTTTTTTGCTGCATCTGATAATTGTGCCTCTGCGTGCTTGATTCGTTTTGCATCGGATTCGATGCAAAAATTATATGCTTCGACGCCAATTTCCATTTCCAGATATATTTCGTATATCTAGATATATTTAGATATATTTAGATATATTTAGATATATTTAGATATATTTTAGATATATTTTAGATATATCTAGATATATTTCATATATCTAGATATATTTCATCTAGTAGTGTCTCACATAACTTAGAAATCAATAAGCAAGGTATTATGCACTACTCTCTCGACAGGTTTCCACCCGGAGCAGGTAGCCGTTTCGGAGTCGCCCGACTCGTTCAGTACATAGCTAGGAATTTCGATGAAATAAATTAGTTTCACGT